GGGAACAAATTTCTCCGAGGACGCCGCCTTCTCCAAGTTTTAAGGTACCACTGATTATCAGGAGGGGTGTCATTACCCCTTCATCTCCGTGGAGACACCCCTTTTACTCACTCAGAGCAAAACATAACATATAAACTACACTCATTGTAGCCTTCCTAGACTGTGTGACAAGCGTTAAAAAGGAAGAGGGGGAGAGAGGGCGAGGGGCGGGCGAGAAGGGGCTCTCACGCGCCCAAATATTAGTCATTTTTATTGTTTGTGTCCTGTAAGACTCGCTATTATGCTGAATTTTATTATTTTGAAAGTGGCCTATTCCCCTAGCTTCCCCTTCCCCTTTTAATCCGGCGATGCGCGCTCGCAGTCTATAGCCTCCCACGCAGACCTTTTTTTTTTTTTTTTTTTTGCTTTTTTCGCCATCCTCCCCCAAACTTTAACACAATTGACAAAAACCCCCCACTTTGCCCCACCTTTTAGAAATTGGGTTTTCTTTCTCTCCTGCCCCTCACGGTCATGGTTGTTCTAATTCTTCTTTCTCTTTAATCCCCCCCCAACGTTGGGAGTTTTTTTTTTTTTTTTTTTTTTTTGGCTTGTCACGCAATCCTCCCCAAACTTTAAAGCAAATGAGCAAAACCACGACTATTGACCATGCATATAGTAAGTTGGCTTTCCTTCCTCTCTTCGCCGTAAGGATCAGTTGGTTATTAATTCTTCGATATCTTGAATCCTCCCCAAGTTGGGGTAGGAATGCGTGACAAAACCCAAAGAATGTCAACACCACACAGTGTGGTGTCAGGCGTTTGGTCGAGCGGGGAACTTCCCTTTCCTCGCTATTTTTTCCCCAAATAGAGAGCCTGTTCACAGGTTAACCATATTTTACACGGTTATGTCAGCTATGTAGCCACGCGAGTTCGATGAGGATTACAAAGGTCCATGGGAAGGATAAAAAACCTGTCATACAGTGTCCGTTTCTTCACCCTTCCAAAGGCGACTTCGAGAATTCTTGCAATTCAAAACCCGCCCCATCAACTCATTCAGGACTACACTAGCTACTCTTCAGTTCTAGATTTGTACAAAATCACCGCAAAGTACAAATAGCCATTTGGTGAAACAGCAGATCAACAGACCTTATTTCACGATACCCGCCATCTTTGCATACACTTTTTAAAATGTATGCAATACAACTTAAAAGTTGTATTGCAAAGAGATTTTCGTGGGGATTTGCGAGTCGGGGGTGTGTTCGAGCAACTCGCTCGCTTAGCCATGAGGTGCCAGGAGTCTGATTTACATTGGTCTTTACTGTTTTTTGACTTTTGCTAACAATCTTAATCTTAATCTTCTTACTCCTCTTCTCTACTCAATCCTTACTCGGCGGTGAGTGAGTAGTTCAAGCGTGGTAGCGGTTTTAATTTTTAGCCAAAACTGGAAATGTTTGGGTAACTGACCGTAGGAATAAAAACAAGGTAAACTCGCGGCCGTGTGGGTAATGTTTTGGTATTACTGAACCTACATGGCTGCGATTTTAATACAAGAAGCTACAAAGCAATGAATAAGTAAAACGCTGGTTAACAAACCCAAACAGGAACTTCAACGAGACTATGAATGAACCAAGGTCAGCTCTGACATGAAAAACGCGACCACCTATGAAAAACAAACATCTGACAATGGCAAGAGAACAATATTCCTAATTAAAATGGCCATGATGGCATTAAGTAAATCCGCGAGCTAAGCAAACATTCAAGTAGAAGTCTGAAAATCACAAAATAAACAAAGGAAAATACCTATGCGCACCAAATCCAAACTAACCTTGGCTCACCTAATAATGTAGAAAAACGAAACTTAGAAGAAATACAGATCTTAAAAATAACTATTAAAATACTTCACAGCAGTTGTAAAAGTTTTATGAAATTGACCTAAGCTAGTGAGTTCTTTTGCTATAACAGCGCAGGTTCACGTCATCATTGGGTTTTATAATTAAGTGCTCTAATTTCAGTCGAAATTCGCTGTTTCCAGACAGGTGGCTCGGGCTGGGAAAAAAATGTGCCTTTTTTAAATCTAAAAATTGATAAACAATTAAAGTTAAATTGAAATTAAAGCTTAATTACTCCAGTAAAATAGTAATTTACGGGAAGTACAAAAAAATCATTATCAATTTTACTTTCCTTGACTAAAAGTAAGATGACGTATACGTAAAAAAACGTAAATAAGCAAGGACTATGTTCCTGTCTCGTGTTTAACAAATTAAAGCCGGTCGAGAAAAGAAAGAAAGAAAGATTTTCTACGTTGTCGAGAAATATCCATTGGGGATGTACATTTTTTTGAAGGTCGTAAGTATGTTAATATAGCTGCATATTTTTTGGCCTTAAATAATGAAATGGTTCTTTTTTATATTTATTGAGTAGGGTCAGCATAAAATACCTCCACCTCATCAGGTGAGAAGTGATAAGTCCCGGCCAGGATTGTTCTCGGGTCCTGCGCTGCAGCAGGAGCAGGGTAGTACCCGTCAAGGCCCGCGAATGAGAAGCTGTTACCGTTGGCATTATTATCAATCCACATGTCATAACCAAAGCATGGACCAAATCCTGACCACTTCTGAATTGCCTTGTCTGGCCTCCCCACCCCAATCACAAAGGGATCCAGTTCTTCTTTATTGCTAATTGAAAAAATAAACGCCTCCCAAGTGGAGCCATAGCTAAACCAACCACTGGACTCTAACAAACCAACAAAACGTAAGTATTATTGAGTAAACTGTGTGGTGTAGTTATACTCTTTAGTGTATTTTCCTTAGTTTAAATTTTATTGATATTTTTATTTTTATTTTTATTATTGACTTAAAACGAATTACCATAAACTAAAACAAAACAAATTTAATAAGAACCATGAGTGTAATGGAATCACACATTTTTTTAACTTTCCTTTTTTTTTTCTTTTTTCCTCCCTTTGTTTATTGTATTGCTACTCCTTACAGTTAGTTATGAAAATGGGCATAGCCTTTTAAGACAGATATACAGAGATAGAAAACGTCAATGATAATGCATTTCTTATTTGCATTGACATGTGATGTAAATAACCTTTCAGACCTTTTCCTTAGGGATAAGAGAACCAGTAAGGGATAATTGACAAAATAATTTTGGGGATAATTGAATTGTTTTAGGGAGTAATGAAAGTTCATCATGGTTCTACATTAATTATGATCGACACTTATTTTTCTCCCCTTTCCTTTTTCTTTTTTTTACCCCTTACCGCCTGTTTTGCAGATTTTGCTCGTTATAATATATACTTATCATTATCAGTCAGTTAAGGCCATTCTAAAGCTCTTAGGGCCATTAAGCGCAGAGGGTGCTGCTTTCGCCTACGTAGGAGCCCGGGGGATGACCTTACGCTTTTCATTCTGAAGAAATGATTTTAAGAACTGATCTTGACGTCACGAAAAGTCGACTCCTTGTTCATCAGTTAGTGAGAACAGTTTTATTGGTTATAGGATCGCAAGTTGGATAATAAGGTGGGAATATCTTTACCGCTAAGAAAAACCATTTTAATATATTCGCAAAACCCACGAAACAATGGCGTCAAGGTTATTGTGTTTTTGTTAGCGCTCGCGAAGAGTCTTTGTGAAATCGCCGCTAGTTTACACGCGAAAAAAAGTCGTCTCTGGAAACGGATTAATCGAGCCTTTGCAATGCCATAACAATCACAATGCCTATTGCATCTTTTCAGCCACAGTTATATCTTCTTTATTTTTAACATGAATGTAACTAAAAAAATTTGTGGCAAACATTTTTTTGTTATTTCCCCCAAAAAGTGCGGGGAAAGGGGCAAGTTTTTCCCCCAGCACCTCCCCCTGCGTGTTCCCTGACTTTTAGTAGTAACGTTCTTACAACGTTTAGGGATAAGGGATAAGAACCCCCTCCCCCTCTCCCCCCTACCAACAGGGCCTGATTGAACCGATTCCGGGATCATAAGGAGTTTGATACCTCTTCTGTGCAGAAATAATTATAGCTGCAGTAGGTATTAAACTAGATTCAATTTACTAAACTTCAACTTGACTTCTTGGAGGTGGAGGGTGGGCGGGGAATGGGGTTCTCCCATATTTTGGCTAGATACATGTAGGTATGTGACGCCCGAAAAAGTATGGTATTTGAGGGTCTTATTCTTCCATACTAAATCAATTTTTCCCTTGTTAGTGTTGAGTTCCCGGTGTGACTCTTAGATAAGGTACCGTTATCAATTGGTTAACATTTAAGAGTCTACAAGTGTAAATGTCCAGCTACACGAGAAAAAAAAATGTCGGTTAGCTGAACTTTGCCTTAGAGTATCATGAAAGCGACTTAATGAAGACTTCTTCGGCGTTTGTATACACACTCTCTTTTCTTCGCGTGTGACTGACAATTTACGAAAAGGCCTTCTGCTCACGCAGGGTATGAGTTACCTTTAAATTCTTAGTTGGTGTTTTTTGGGGGGTCTCATTTTGTAGGGTTTTTTTTGTCTCATCCTCGAGTAGGGTCAGTACTTCAGGCCCTCGGAGACAAACACCTAGAGAAGGTACGTTCTTTTATTGGGGAGGGGGGGGGGGTCGGAGGGGAGGGTCCTTAGTAAATTTTTTACCAGTTGGGGTGGGTCAAACCTGTTTTATTCTCCGAAAGATGACATATCTGATATCGTTCATGGTAGAAAACATTTGATTACTAACTCTTCATTCGACGGGCACCCCGTCAGGTAAATATAAAGGATTTTACCGTAAACATTGCTGTGAGTTATTATAAAACGGTAGTTTACACTTTCTTGCTGTAATCTTTGAGTCAATACTATGGTCCATGCATATTCTCGCCAGGAACCGTATCCGCAATTTTACAACGTATCTGCAATTTTACAGAATAGTTAATACGTAACAACCAGCTTCCCTAGTTCTTACAGCAGTATAAATAGTTAAGAAGACTGGTCTGGCTCAACTTTACATTTTATTGCTATTTGCTTTTATTTACTGAGCAAGCAATTTTCTTACCCCAAGGAATGTCCGTGTAACCTCCAAAAACGTATTTACCCTTTTTTATTATGGTAACTGTGTCTCTTTTTCCATCGCAGCGTCTGTGAAACTGTTCATAGACATCCCAGCCGTGCAATGTAGCCCGCCAGCACAGTAGCCAGCGAGAATTGTACCCAACTGCAGGCTGTAGAAATTTTCCCAGATGGTAAAAATAAGAAGAATTTGTTTTCAATATATCTGAGTCCAATCTGAACGCTAAAAATGAAAGGAGAGTAACGTAAAGACCTTAACGATTGCAAAAAGAAGTGGTGTCTTGTGTTTTACATGTTCTATCGCTGCTGTAGCTACCTGGTGTCTTTAAAGATGGTACAAGAAGGACTGACTAAAAAACCTTATCGGTCCCAACGTCAGCTTCTTCCCCGTTGACCCAGAGACGCAAATGTTCTTTGGGGCGGTGGGGACATGTCGTGCTTTTTTACTTACACAATTCTTAAAGACATGTGATGTTGGTGTTGCGCCACCGAAATGAGACCAGCATTAAAAGCTACTGAAATAATATTCATTTAAAGACACAAACAAAAGTTCAAACAGCCATGGTCCAAAACGACAGGCAGTTTAATTTTAAAGGCTGCAACGTTAATTTGCGCTCTTAAAATCGATGGAAAACGACGCTTTTCAACTTGGAATGCAACAATGTTGCGCAACAAGTTAAGCGAAAATGTTGCCCGTATTACTTGGCCTAAAAGATCATGTCGAAACTTCATGTTCTTATAAAATTTAAACTAAGGAATTGCACAAACTTTTCTCGTTTGATTTTGTTTTTTTCGTTAAAACAACGAAAAAGGGCAAATAACTGCGATATCAATGATGACGATTATGACAATGG